AGAACCAAGAATCGAGTGCTCGTTTCTTGGATATAGATTGTTGAATCCTGGTGGCAGACGCTCATCGAACTACAAGCACAGGAGTAGGGGCGAATTTCTGCTATAGGACATAGCGTTGTGCTAGCCTCAATCTGAAATTCAAGTCAGTATCGTTTATGTTAATTTTGTTGTCTATATGTTGCAGTGATATTATTCTGTTTTGTAAGTTCGTTGCGTTATAAGTTCTGTCATATTCTTTATTGTTTCCAACAAACAATCTGTGGACACATAAGCGAGCATGTATAGGTATGCACATGCGTATTTAGAACTATCACATGTTCAATTGTTTTCAATCAGATTGGAATAGATCTATTCCAGCTTTTATGTTTAGTTGTTGCTCGTCCATGCGTTACTTTTAACTAATCCGTGACAACTGCCTGCATTGGTGCATGTATGCTCTGTGCGATGTGGTTGCTATACACCTGCAAGCGAAGAATACACAGAGTCTATTTTTATGTTTTACTCGAATCTCGATTTTCTACACAGAAAGAAAGACGATACTTGTTTATTTCCGTCGTGTCTTCGAATGTTCATGTGGAAGTCTTCTGGTTATTTATGCAACATTTTCAAGATGCTTACAAGTAAAAAAGTAATTCTTGTGGAGCATGTTTGCATAACTAGCTAGCATTTTGTGAATTGAATGTGGACATTGTATAAGTAACATGAAGTGTATCTAAGACTGTAACAGAATGCGGCTGCTGGTTAGTGAGGATACTACTACCCCAAGTTATTGGTTGAATTGGAGATTCTTGCTCTGTGCAATATGGGTCTTGACATCTATTCTCCTTGCATCATTTCTGATATGGAAATATGAACGTTCAGACAATTCCAAATCTGAAAGAGGGGAGACGCAGCAGGAGAGACCACGGATTTTGCATTATGATGAATCTTGGAAGCCGTGCCTAAAAGAAATTCACCCGCTTCATTTGGTGGTTTTTCGGTTGATAGCATTCTGTCTGCTTTTAGTTTCCCTCAGTCTCGAAGTTGCTGCTCACGGTGGTGAATTATTTTACTATTACACTCAGTAAGTGATCTTTTTTCTTCTGGAATACTGATAAATGTAGGGTCGCTGACAAATTGAAACAAACTCAGATATGAGTTAAGTCCTTCCTTGGTGACACTTATTGTTGACAAAACCGCATAGCTTCTTAATGTACGAAGTATCTGTCCCCGGGAATATTTGTATTGCGTACTTTTGATCAACTCATGGAAATTGTTTTGACTCCCTCTAATTACATGTTCTTTTGGCTCCATGCAGGTGGACTCTTACTTTAGTCACCATCTATTTTGGGGTATGGTTCATTTATTACATTATTCATAACATATATATGGAATGTGCTATGATGTTACTGTCTTGAACCTTATGATGTGGCCGCAGTCTCTCTTCAAGGCACAATACTGTCCAATTCTATAAATTCATCTTTTCCTGTGTAGTTTGGTTTGTTGCTTTCTATCAACGGATGTTTACAGCATCACAAAGCAAATAGCTGCAACGACTACCATGTATCAGAGGTTGTGGAGCAAGGGTTATATGAGCCTCTTGCCCATGGAGTAAATGAAAATGAAGTCGAATTACGAAAACAAGAACACCATTGTTCGCGAACTGCTGGCCTGTGCGGATACCTGTTTCAAATTTTATTCCAGGTATCGTTTTTGCTACTAAGAGCATCTCCAACAATGCTCTTTACGTTAAAGAGCATTTTTTCATTATAAGATCATCTTTAAAGATAAAGAGTAGATTTTTTGTTCAAGTCCAATAGTACTATGTATATTTCATCTTTATTTTGATCTTTTTTAATAAACTATTGTGTTTCACTCTGTTTCCTCATTTTTTTCACTTAACTTCTCTCTTGTTCGTGAAATTGTCATTTTTCCTTTATTTTGAATATAATGTATGGGAAATTTTGAAATAATAAATAACAATACTATTATATAGAGAGTGGAATTGACTCTATACATTTCGAGAGCGAAATTCACTCTTTATTTTAAATGTTAACTATAGAGAGTCTATTGGACTATTAAGGAACCTACTTTCTAAAATAAAGAGGAGGAGGCTATTAAAGGGCTCTACTGTAGATGCTCTAATACATCTAAGAATCTTCAGGTAATGTCATATTTGGTTGCAACTATAATTCTTTGTCAAATTGATCAGATCTTCTAATGCATATTTCCAATGAGCAGATATCTGCAGGGGCGGTAACTCTTACTGATGGTCTTTATTGGACCATAATATTTCCCTTCCTTACCATCAGAGATTATGAGCTGAGTTTTGTAAGTACTTTATATAATCTTTTTAGTTTCCATTCTTAATGATTATCGAGTTGTGACAGTTGTCTAGGACCATACATGCATCCTTGCAAACTTAATCTATGCATCTGGCTACATATTTTTTTTTTACGAGAGCTTACCGGGGGAGGATCCTTGATTTTCCCTCAGTGCACCATTTAAAGAATCTATGCACCTTAATCTATGCATATGGCTACAATATGCATGGTTCACTTGTGCAGATATTTCCTCTTGCCGCATTCATTGTTTGTCTTGTGATTATATAGAAAATAGTCTCATGCTTGATGTTCTACGGATGTATGGTATTATTATAGTGTTTAAACCGTTTCTTTTGGGTAAAACATTATGGAAGGCACCAACACCTTCTGAATGACAAATAATGAAAGTTACTAGTCAGTAGTCACTACAAGCATATATGAAATATAAAATAGCATTTGTATCCCCATCCATTTCCAGTCACCAATTCTTGCTTTGTATATTCACGGGTGCTAAGGATTCTACTCTTCTTGCAGCCACAATGCTTTTCATTCAAAACATTGCTGTTCATCGTTTCATGTATTTATTTTCCTGTTGCTGTTGTTAGTTTTGGTGACCAATTTAAGAAATATGTCTTTGTTTTGGCCAGTTGACAGTCGTAGCACATTCACTCAATGCTATCTTACTCCTTGGGGATACAGCTTTAAACAGCCTGGTAAGCTTCTGCTACATTTTTTGTGTATTTTTAACATTTTGTTTATATTTGCAATTCATTTTCATTTCTTGTGAGTATTGAAATACTCCTGAAATCTTCCTCTCAGGGGTTCCCTTGGTACCGAATCTCTTTCTTCATTTTGTGGACGGCTACTTATGTCATCTTCCAATGGATTATTCATGCATTTGTATCGATTTGGTAATGTCAGTCTCTCTTCTATTCATTTACGCATATTTATTTCATGTTTCATTGGGTATTTTCCTTGTTTCAGGTGGCCATACCCAATCCTTGACTTGTCATCTGAATATGCTCCTTTATGGTAAGTTTATCGGGCATTGGGTTTTGCTTTTTGTAAATCAGGATTACAGCCCCCTCACAATAAGGGGAGCTCACGTCCAATAAAAAAATTGGGGTGATGCTACACGTACATAATGCGGTGTCCACCCCTTCACATGGAGGAGGACCCACTTCGAATAAAATATAATATATCCGAAGTGAGTACCCCTCCATGTGAGGGGGTGGACACCACATTATGTACAAGTAGTATTTCAAAAAATTGTGACCCCCCTATTATGAGGGGGGCTATACACCGGGGTGTTACATAGCAACCCTTTTATGATTACAAATAGTAACTTCCATGTTGTCCTTGAATGACAAGTTAAGAAAGCTCTTTTTGTCATATTTGTCATGGATTTTTTATTTTGCCACAACCTCTGGTCATTATTAATAATTCAACGGCTTTCTTTCATCAAGCATTCTTTTTCGAATAGTATATACAAAAAAGGAGCTCAACTCACTTGACAGTATTAAAAATATCAAAAAATAATAATAATAAGTCAATTTTGTTTGGAATACCGTCTAGTCATATCTAATATTGATCGCTAAATATTCACTTTATACATTGGCAGAATTGATTTCTAGTAGTATCTAATCTAATTTTCTCCCTTTTTTTTTTCCTAATATTTGATGGGCAGGCATTTGGTAGTGGCACTATTGCATATCCCGTGTTATGGTATCTTTATTTTACTGGTGAAGATAAAACATTTGGTATTGTCCAAACGGTTCCCTCAGTCATATCAGTTTTGCCCTTAAGACCACCATCCGATATTAGGTGTTTCTTATGATCTGCCACTGNCCCCCCCGCCCCCCCCCCCCCCCCCACCCCATCCAATATTAAGTGTGTCTTATGATCTGCCCCTAGAAGAGGTATATTCAAAAAAGCTGCACCATTGGAAAGTTTCCCTTTCAGGAATCAAGATATGTGGAGGTATTTTGCTGTGTATCGGTTTTCCCCGCTGCAATTATGTTATTGGAAAAGATGGGTGAATAAATTTGCAGAAATCAAAAGCATTTCTTTTTGGCTGACCTTTTAAGTTTTAACTAGGACAGTATGAGCCGTGTAATAAGTTTTTGTTTACTCGATCAATGAAACAGTCTCATAAAGATGAAAGTGTTTTTTTTTTTTTTTTTTTTTGAAGTTATCCCGCTTTTAATGCCACTTGACTTACTTCCTCAAACATGTTAGAAAATCTTTTTCTAAAAAATATGAATGGAAGTAAGTTATCGAGCAAAGTTGTAAAATACTGCCAAAATGCTTGTATTTATATTATGGTGTAGCACTATTGAGGTATAACCGAACACATTCAAGCATACTATTGGATAAACTAAAACGGCTTTGCTCGTGCCATCGCGCGTCCCCAAGCCCCAAAGCACTTTGGTCCCAACCATTTTTCTTTCTTTAGGTCTCTAGCATGCAAATTTTAGAGCAATTTTGTAGGCATAAAATTTATTCACAGGCCTCTACCCATGCACACCACCATCAGCATCCCCTAATGGATTCTTATGTATCCGGATATTCTTATATTATACACATTAAACATCATGTCAATTCGCAACTTCGAACAATTTGGAAAGACTTCAGAAGTGTCAATAGCATAGATAGAACCAAAAGAAAAATAGAAATATAATTCTTCAACGCCTTCAGTAGGAAGGCAATTCCATAGTCCTTTTAAGCAGAAGATGATTTGGCAAGCGCTCCAGCTTCAGTTAGCAGCGGGACAAGATTTCCACCCTTGTGCATAGCAGTTGTTGCTGCAGAAGAAAACAAACAGAGAAGTAATACCAACAAACGAACGAAAACTTACACTTCTGCAATGAAGGATAATAATGATACCATCACAGCCACCAATATGCTTGCCACTAATAAATACATTGGGCATGGTGCGTAGTCCGGTCAATTCAGCCAGTGCAGATTGTATCTCACTTCCATCACCTTCATAGTTGCAAAAACAAATGTGCTATAATTGCAAATATGATATAGGCTAAGGAAGAATGCACAAGCAAAGAAACAATGTGAAAATTTCCCTACCCACGGTCCCATGTACTTAACCCGCGTGTGCATTTCAAAGTCAGAGAACTCATGGCCCTTGTTTGAGCCACATTTTCCAAAAATTCATTTTTTCAAAACTCATTTCAATCCTACATTCTTTCAATAAAATAATTTTACACGCAAATTCAAATTTTTTTCCTAGATCAACCTTACAACAAATATCAGTCTTTCAATATTGCTCATAAAATAGAATAGGATTAATAGCAGAAAACCCCTTGGAAACTTCTCAATATACCACCCTACTTATTGGAAATCGCAGAATATCCCTTGTTAGGGATTATTATGAGCAATTACCCAAGGCCCAAGCCCACACCACCAGGCCCAAGTGAGGTTNCTTTTAAGCAGAAGATGATTTGGCAAGCGCTCCAGCTTCAGTTAGCAGCGGGACAAGATTTCCACCCTTGTGCATAGCAGTTGTTGCTGCAGAAGAAAACAAACAGAGAAGTAATACCAACAAACGAACGAAAACTTACACTTCTGCAATGAAGGATAATAATGATACCATCACAGCCACCAATATGCTTGCCACTAATAAATACATTGGGCATGGTGCGTAGTCCGGTCAATTCAGCCAGTGCAGATTGTATCTCACTTCCATCACCTTCATAGTTGCAAAAACAAATGTGCTATAATTGCAAATATGAAATAGGCTAAGGAAGAATGCACGAGCAAAGAAACAACGTGAAAATTTCCCTACCCATGGTCCCATGTACTTAACTCGCGTGTGCATTTCAAAGTCAGAGAACTCATGCCCATTGTTTGAGCCACATTTTCCAAAAATTCATTTTTCCAAAACTCATTTCAATCGTACATTCTTTCAATAAAATAATTTTACACGCAAATTCAAATTTTTTTCCTAGATCAACCTTACAACAAATATCAGTTTTTCAATATTGCTCATAAAATAGAATAGGATTAATAGCAAAAAACCCCTTGGAAACTTCTCAATATACCACCCTACTTATTGGAAATCGCAAAATATCCCTCATTTTTTTTTTTTATAATCGTGGATGTCCGGGCCAGCTGCGCGCACCTCGACTAATCCCACAAGGCCCTGAAATTTACGGCCGGGTACTCACCGAATATCCCCTATATTTGAAACCTTTTGTTCGAAATACCCCCTTATCGTCAAGATCCGTTAGTTCAACAATTAAAAACAGTATAAAATGCCAAAAAAAAAATTAAAAAAAATTGCAATGGTAGTACCCAAACTTTTTATTTTTTGTAAATTATACCCAAATTTTTTATATCTATCACCCACGATTCCAAACCTTTAAAACTTCATTTTCCGCCCCCACCCAAACCTACTTCATCTTCTTCCCCACCCTAACATAATCATCCCCAGTGTAAAACTCCATAGCCATGCCTCAATCCATACCCATCATACTACCCATCAATCCTCCACTCCCATTGCATTTACCTTGGTGAAACTCACCTTCGTAGTAATCCCCGTTGCTGTAAAACTCCACGACTTCTCAAATAATTTTCTTAGCACTCTCTTTGTAATCTAAGATTGATTCACCAATGAACCATTTCACTGATTTTTCATTGTTCTTGGAGGTGAAACGGGGGAGCCCAACTTTTTTCCCATACTCATAACACAAATAATGATTCAAAGAAAAAAAAAATAATGACTCGACAGAAATATAGACGATCTGTAGATAAAAATAATGATTCAAAGAAAAAAATCAGCTTATTCTAAGCACAGACACAAACAAAAATCTCAAGGACGCATTAGTGAAGTGAAATTCGTCCCCAATAATGGAATTAAAAATGAATTTTCAAATTAGTATTCGAAAAATCACAAAATTGAAGGGTGCAATTCTTCACCACCAAACATGCCCAAGAGAAATGAAATCTCAGAATTAAAAAAATATAGATATTCACCTGCATAAATGGAGTGTTTTCTTGTGCTCTTTTCATAGTGAATGCACTGGAAATAGTGGTGAAATCGCTTCTATTAGCAATAAACTAGGAGTATTATTGTTAAATTCTCACGGTAGCGCCGTGGCGATGGTGTTAAGAATGGGATCGGTCGCAGCCTATCGCGAGTACGAGGTCGTTATATGTCCAGATGTCACTATAAAGGAGTACCAGATTTGGGACTTGTTCGAACAATGGAGGAGTACCAGAGGTCACTATGGAGGAGGTCATTAAATGTAGAGGAAATTACAGCCA